GGACAAAGACATGAGAAGATCGAGTATGAAGCATCAACTTTGTAAATCAGCCTTTCTTCACCCATCATCTTGATGTTCACTGTGGCTGAGATAAGAAGATGGCACGCCTGGAAAATATTCATTTGAACTTGTGACTCAGCCCCTCCTGACCTCAGGGAAACGCAGTCCATAAATCCTGACGCTGTTCCAGTGCCTCCTTCCGGAGTTTTCCCATGGGGCTGGATGCTGGAAACGCCATTAGCAGAAGTGACTGGACCCCCTCCCCACGAAAGATTTAAAAGTGTATTTGGTACTCCGAGAGCTTTCACTTCTGAAGCTTGCTGATGGATGGCCTCAGCCCTTGACCCACTATTTTTTACTCTCCAACCTGCCTAGTTTTATTTCCTGGCACAGCCTGTAAGTTCTATTTCTTCACATTGAGCGGCGGTCTAAGGCTTCGGCTGCTGAGAAGGGAGGTGGTCAAGTACGCTGGCTGGTGTGACACAGACTCTAGCTGTGGAAAACTCGAGTTTTGCCGTGTGTCTTATGTTTCTTGAGATGCTCTTTTGTTTTTCTTACCAACTCTTACTCAGAACTCAATTTATAAAGCAGGTAAGAGAGGCACCTCAGGCAGGCCATGCTGGAAACTTTATCATCACCCCCTTCCTGGTGCTGTCCCCCACTCTTGGGTTCCCAGCTCTCCCAGACCCAAAGGATGCAAGAGGAGAAGGGACTTGCCCAAAGGCCCAAGGACACTAGACTGAAACCTGAATGTGCTCATTCTCTACTAGCGCATTTACCAGGCACAGGGCTAGGCACTGGGGACACGAAGACAAATAAGACATAAGTCCTTCTCTGAGGGGAGTTACAGTCTGCTGATAGGGCCTGGGGGAGGGGGAGGGGGAGGGGAAGGCAAGCCCAGTGGCAGCAGCAGGGGGGTGGCAGCCTCATGGTCATGGCTAGCATTTGTGGAGCTGTGTTGACCGCACACCAGCCCCAGGCTTTGTACCTGATCTGCTCAAGGCCACTTAACCTTCACAACACTCTATGGGGGGAGCAAGCACTATTACTCTCACTGTTTGGCATGATTGGCAACTTTCTACTTCCGCAGCTGAACCCCCCTTTCTTCAAGGAAAATCTAGTATGGAGCCCCAAATAAATACATCGGGCAAAACCAAGGTGAGTCCCCTCACTACACCTTTCCTACGTAACCCCCAGCAGGGGCCCTGAAGGAGCCTGAGGTCTCCCTGCTCACGGTTCAAAGACTGCCCATCTGATCCAGTGTTTGGAGAGCTTCAAGAGGCACAGGTTACAAGCAGAGTGTCCCAGTCCACTTACGCTCATTTTACAGATGAGCAAATGGAGGCCCAGAGGAAGGGAGGCATTTAGCAAGAGGGAGTCACCACCACAACCAGCGCTCCAACCAGAGTATTCTGAATCTCAGCTCTGTGTCCATCAGGGACACCTCTTTTATTAGGAAATGGAGGCCTTTTATTACCAGCTATAAAACATCATCTCTTCCAAGCCACATTTTAAAGTCAAGCTTACTGTGGGCTTTACGCACATGGTTTTCATGTCCCTCCTACCCTGTCCCTCCCCACCTCCAGCTCTCCACGTCACTGACCCCAGGAGGAGAATCTTGCTTTAGAGAAGCCCATTCTGGGAGCCAAGTAGGTGAGCGTGGCTTGAAGCTGACAGCTTCCTAGCTGGACTTAGGAGCCCTCCGCTCCTCTCAGCTTACTTAACAGAAGGTCCGGTCGCTCTGTAACATTCCTGGGAAAGAAAGGGCCTTTAAATCCTCTGAAATAGGATTTTTTAATTCAGCAGCACCTTGGAGTGTGTAAGAGGAGTGTTAACTTCCCTTCCCTGTGTGTACTAAGCCAGGGAGTCCTTCGGGAATGTTCATGATTGCACCCCTCAGGGTGGCATCTCTGGAGGTAGCCTGCCCATCCCTCCTTCAATGGGTCCCATAGTCACCACCTACGTCTCTCTCCTCGTGCCTTTGCAACTGCTCTTCCTACTGTCCTCTCGTCCCTTACCTGGCTCATCCCTTCTGCAGGCTCTGTCTGTCACTTTTTCCCTAAGGATTTTAGTATAAATCATCTAGGAAATGAGTTCTCTGGCAGAGATAGCAAGCATGGGAGGCTCCAAGCGTCCCAAACCTGTCCCAGCTGGTCCTGTCCCCAGGTGCCTTCTGGTATGAGTCTGAGTGGCTCCGTCATGCGACCCAGAGGTGAGGCTCAGGCTGTTACCCAAACTTTGCTTCATGGGATTCCAATCCCAGGAGCACTTTCTCAGAGACAGCGTTTCATGGTTAAAGACCAGGAAAATTCTGCACGTAACCTATTTCTCCTGGAGGGACCTAATGTGTGGAAGCATACCGAAAGTTTTGAGAAATCCTGTGGTCTCAGGTCCTGTGGAACTTTGGAGAACCCAAAACCTGTTTGAGTGTGTGTTGAGAACGTGTTTGGCAGCTAGTTCAGAGGTGTCTCTATGAGTTAGTTCTGGAAGCCTCTGTGCCATTTATTGGTGTCCCTCTTGGCTACAGAAGCTTTCCTATTCCACTCAAGAAAAGCCAAATTAGGGGCACCTGGGTGGCTCAGTGGGTTAAAGCCTCTGCCTTCAGCTCAGGTCATGATCTCAGGGTCCTGGGATCGAGCCCCATGTCGGGCTCTCTGCTCAGCGGGGAGCCTGCTTCCCCCTCTTTCTCTGCCTGCCTCTCTGCCTACTTGTGATCTCTATCAAATAAATAAATAAATAATCTTAAAAAAAAAAAAAGACAGAAAAGCCAAATTAGGGTGTTCTCTGCACACATTCACAGAGGGTTTTGTTTTTTGTGTTTTGTGTTTTTTTCCATCTATACCAGCGTATTGTCAGCAGCTTGTGCTTTCTTTGGAAATAAAAAGAAATGAATCAAGGGGGGCCCATTTATGGTCTGAACATCACATTCTTGGGGCCTGGGCAAAGGAAGATGTCAGACCAAGCTGAGCCATTCTTAGAGAAAGGATGGCACTGGGGTTTTCTGTGTTTGGGAAGCAAGTCCTCTCTTATCAGACCGGCCTGCTGTATTTCTCCTGCAAATATGCTGACACGTGCACAGACGTACATTAATAATATGTCTCTCTACTTTCCGAAATGGAGGCTTTTCCTGTCGGCTGAGGGAACTTTAAGTGCACAGACTGTTTTTAGTTAACTATTGTTCCAGCTTTTTGATTGAGGAGTTGGTTGTCTTTTCCTAGCTTTCTTTTCTCTCTATGCTGGAAAATCCCATCAGTGCTGTAACAGAGGAGCCATGGGCGTGCATGTGCGTGCGTGTGCATGCGTGCGTGTGTGTGTGCGTGTGTGTGTGTGTGTGTGTGTGTTTATGTAGGGGTCTAAAAACACAAACTGCTGGTGAAGGCGATACTGATCGAATTCGTTTGCTGGGGTTGCCATAACAAAGTACCACAAACGGCATGGCCTAAACAACAGACGTGTATCGTCTCAAAGTTCTGGAGGCTGAAAGTCCAAGATCAAGGTGTCCGCAGGGTTGGTTCCTTCCCAGGGCCATGGGGTCTGCTGCAGGCTTCTCCCTCTGCTTCTGGTGCTTTGCTGGCAGTCTGCCATGTTCCTTGGTCTGTTGGAAGCATCACCCTGGTCTCTTCAGCCTCACAAATGTTCCCGAGTGTGTGTCTGTCCAAATTTCTACTTTTTACAAGGCCACCAGTCCTTGGATGGGGATCTCACTCTGCTATAGTACGACCTTGTGTAAACTGAATGAATTAGGTCTGCAATGACTCTATTTCCAGGCAACGTCACATTCTTCCTTCCAGTGTGGTGCTGGCTTCTGGAAGTCCTGGGGGCTGGAACTTCCACAGATGAATTTGAGGGGGGGGCACAATTCAACCCCTAACACCAGCGCTGTACACAGGAGTGTATTCTGTTCCGCAGCAACGAGGGAAGTCCTGAGCTACTGCTCCCTGTATAGCCTGTCAGCTTCAGAAAGGAGGGCTAAGGAGGGAACAGGCTCAAACACAAAGATGCCGGCAGCTTCCGCAGCAAGCTGACGTTTTCCGAGAGGAGAAGAGCCCAGAGTTGCCTGATGCAGGTAGAACTGCAATTAGGTTCATTTCAGTAAAAGGCACCCTGTTGCATGTGTGGCCCCGGGGTTGGGCCCTGGGGGAAGGGGGATGCGGCAAACTGGCACTCTGGCAGTGGGGAATGCCACAGGCCATGGATGTGAGCTGAGTGGAGAGTGCGGACCCAGCGTGAGGACCGGAGTGAGCTTTGCTTAGTGACGGGACACAGAGGCTTCACAGAGGAGGTGATGTGTGAGCTGGGCTTGTCCCATGACCAGACACGTTGAGCCAACAGGGAGGACAGAGGGCTTAGGGCAGATCAGGATACATATGGTGGTTCTAGAACTTCCTGGAAGCATGATTCCCGTGAGTCACTCAACCTCCCTAAGCTCCATATCCTCATCCATAAAATGAGGGTGACAACAAATACCTCCCTCAGAGGTTAAATTAGAAAATCCTCGTGATATGCTTAACCCAGGGCTTGGATGTGGTGGTAAACGTTGGCCATTATTGCCGGCTGCTTTTTGCTAGGCTTGATTGAGATGTTGTAGGGGAAGGACCTGCAGGAAGCGTGTGTTCAAATGACACCCCTCCGCTTATAAAATCAGCTTTGGCAGACCTTCCACCATTCATGTTTTCCTTCAGGGCAAGGGGTGAAGGGTGGAGGGCATTTCTCAGAAAATCACCAGAACTACTTAAAGAATAAAATAGTTTTCAGTCATTCACAAACCATTTACAGTTCCCTGTTTCCTTGGAATTAATGGCTATGCCAATATAGTCAATCACAATTTAGTCAGTCACATGCCATCAGGACTCTTACCTCGCACGGAGAATTAATCCGACTTAGAGTGTTCCTGACCATTCACGGAGCGTGCCCGGCCACCACATGCCCGCCAAGCATTGATTTGCTCTGAGAGAGAAAATTCAACAAAGGTCTTTCTAAGATTTGTCTCTTTCCGGTAGGTCATAGATCACAGAAAGTCAGAAGACAAGCACAGATTCTCTTACCATGTCGTACAGACGAGAGTTAGAGAAATACCGGGACCTGGATGAAGATGAAATCCTCGGAGCCCTCACAGAGGAAGAGCTCAGGACCCTGGAAAATGAGCTGGATGAGCTGGACCCTGACGTGAGTAGGCACGAAAGGGGACCATGTCATGACAGATGGGGGGACACAATCATTACCACCTGGGGGAGGGACAGGGGCAGACTTCCCATAGCTACTTCTTCCTGTTTCCTTCTGTGGCAATGACCCTGGAATAACACTGCCCTTTGCAGGGCTGTGTGTTTCCTTCTGTAGCAATGACCCAGAATAACACTACCCTTTGCAGGGCTGTGTGTGTGTATGTGTGTGTGTTGTGTTTGTCAGGGTTGTCTGGAACAACAGAATCAGTAGAGCGTGTATATTCACAAAGGGAAGAGATATATTGTAAGGAATTATCTCACATGATTATGGAGGCTGACATGTCCCAAGACCTGCGGTCAGCAAGCTGGAAATCCAAGAGGGCTGTCCGTGTGGGTCCAGCCTGGGTCCAAAGGCCTGGAGAACCAGCAGAGCTGATGGTGTGGTTTCAGTCTGAAGGCCAGCAGGCGCAAGTCCCAGGCAAAGCCGATGTTTGAGTTTGAGTCTGCAGGCAGGAGGGAAACCAGTTACCCCACTCAAGGCAGTTTTGAGGGTCAGGAGGGTCCAGATTTTTGTTCTATTCAGAACTTCAACTGATTGGATGCTCCCCGCCCCCATTAGGGAAGGCAGTCTGCTTTATTCAGGTTCAGATGTTAATCTCATCCAGAAACATCCTTACACGCATGCCCAGAAAAATGTTTAACCAAATGTCTGGGTGCCCCATTGCCCTGTCAAGTTGACACATAAAATTAACCATCACAAGTCTACTCTTTGCCCACTTTGCAGCCATACGCATCCAAAATCTTACTTCTCTCATTGTAAAGACAATAACGAGGTTGTAAGAGGAAGGGAGAGTCCAGAAGAGGACGTGAAGTCCTTAAGTGGTCCTGTCCCTGATATCTCATAATACTTAAGTGCTATGGTATGAAATTAACAATGCCTAAGAACTTCGATATAAAATCAGTACCTCTTATGCTACATGATAAGAGAGTAAGAGAGGGGAAAAAAGCAAAGATACTTGCTTCACACACACACACACACACACACACACACACACACGTTCAAAACAAAATGAAGAGGAAACCCTCATGACAATTATAGTCCTTGTTTCTCTAACTGGTCACATGGTTGCTGCTGCTGTAACTACCTTCTTCCACGCCCTGTTCTGTATTTCCTTTGCCTTCAGCAAGCCCCTCGTTGGTCATGATTCTTTGCCTGGTTGGATGACTCAAACCTTCATTCCTGAAGGGTCTAGGCCCATGGTAATCTACTTGGATTGGGCTGTTGTCGTTTTCCACTAACTCTAGTCACAGGACATGGCGCTCATAAGAGGCCCCGTCAGCAGTCTCTGGATGCAGGCAGACACTTCCGTACTTCCGTCATGGGGCAGTGGCCCAATTCCATATCAGGCACCCTGATCAGTAGAGAAACTCCTTCTGTGCCCATTGACTCAGTGACATAAGGAGCCCCGAGGGCCGGGAGGCAGTCTCAATGTCCAGTCCAATGGAATTAATGTTCTGTCTCCCAGTGGAAGCATCCTCCCTTTGGGACTAAGACCTCCAGGCCAGAAGAATATAAGGTCATAGGGACAGGAAGCAAACATGCTGCCAGTGGGTCGCCAGGGGTCACAGTGAGGAGGCCATCTTCCATTTCTATCCGTGATTCCTGGATCCGTGAATCCTGACTAGTGAAGAAATAGCACCAGGCACTGGACACAGATTCAGAGCAAGTAGAGCCTTCTGGAGAGCCAGCCCCATAAGGTGCTGCTCCCTTCCTGGAACTGCAGCACGTCTGCAAAAGCCACTTCCAACGTTCTCTCCAGCTAGCTGCTGCAGGGTCGTGGGGGCCCTGAGTTGTAGAAGGAATTAACTGAAGAATGAAGTATTGCAAGTGTCTCTTTCCCTTGTGGGACACGATTTTATCATTGCATTTTACGGTTGGCACACCTAAGAAGCGTGTTTAATGCTCAGAATTGGCCTCTGCCATCAGGATCACAGGCTCAAGGGCCAGGAGGCTCCCCAGTCCGGTGTGTGGTTTGGTCAACCACAAAGGAGCCATGAGCAGGGCCGAGACAGGGATTCCCAGGTGGCCTGTTAGACAGGGGCCTTCCTCCTCTATCTATACTCATCTCCCCAGGTCCATGCTTGGATGATGCTTGGTCCGGAAAAAGTACATAATGAATATTACTGAAGGAACTTGAATTTTCCATTTTGTATATTTTTAGTTAAAAATGGAGCATTTCACACCTTTCTTTGAAAACCTGTCATCGCTCAATTATGATTTAACAGTGATCCGTGAAGAAAAGAACATCACTCCACCATTGCACTAACCTTCAAGTGATCACAGCCAGAGCAGAGGGAGAAATGCAGGACTAGAGGTTAGCTGTCCCAGCGCCAACCCTGGGCCTGTCTCTTACTCTCCATGTGACCTTGGGCCAGTCACTGTCCTTCCCTAGGCCTCAGTGTCCCCCATCCATGAGATGATGGAGTTGAATAGTCCCTTCAGGACTCAGCTGCCATGTGCTTTTAACCTGGCCTTATCTCCAGGTTCAAATAAAGGTCTTCTTTCTAGAAAACCCAGAAATCCCAGTCTAGGGGTCCTGGGTCCTAGGCCCTGTAGAATGACAAAGGCCTCTTGCTATTCATGACCTCTGCCTACCCAGCCACAAGGAGATGGACCCTCTGATGACGCCGCTCCAGGGCTTTGGAAGGCAGTGTTGGTGCGAGAACCCTGGATCTCCTCCTCCCTCCCCTGCACTCCTGCTGCCCTGAAGCCTGGGCTTTGGGAAAAACAAGCGCTATAGGCAAGGAATAACCAGCTTCCAGCTTTATTGCTGTGAGATTATTCTGTTCTAATTCAATCCCAGACCACTGTCTTGTAGAATTACACAAACGAGCCGCTTTAAAAAGTGAGAACCAAAGGGGATGCAGCGACTTTTGTCAGCTCAGTAAACATGGCATAGAGACCTGCCGGGTACCAGGCCCTGTGCAGGCCACCACAGGGGAGCCTGTCGGGGACCCTGCCATCCCATGTCAGTCCGCTCAGGCTGGGGGAGCGCAAGCGTGATAATCAGCGTCCTCAGCGGGCACAGATGGGGAGCTCAGGGAGACGACTGATTCTTCCTGGTGGGAGGCTTCACAGAGCAGGTGAATGGGGCCCTGGGCCCTGGGATTTTTCTGAGTCAAGAATAAAAACAAAGAATTCTAGGCCCAACGGAGGCCACATGCAAAGCTCACATACAAAAGGCAACTGGGGACAGTGGTAATTAGAATCTCAGCGCGGTTTCTGTGGGGGTTAGAGACCTTGGAAGGAAGTTTTGGTTGGTAGGTGGTGGGGGTGGGGGGATGGGGTGGAACTGGAGAGTTTAGACTTTTCTCCGTAGGCCTGAGGAATCTTTGAGGGGCAGTGACTTGGTGGACTTGCTGGTTTCAGGAGCTTTGAGCACAGAAGGACTGAAGGAGGTGCCAGTGAGATGGGTGGGAGGTGGAAGGCCTGGCTGGTTGGTGGGAGAGTTTCTTTACGAAGCTAAGGAAGGGCCCCGCCCCTCCCCACAAGCTTTCCACCATATTGCAGACTTGCTGTCCCCAGTGCAATGAAGAGCGAAGCCTTCTGTCTCTGGCTATCTTGCTCCAGGTGGGGTTGGGGTGAGATGAGGCTGTGTCTACAAGTCACAGGGATGGTGCCAAAGATCCAAGCCAAGCATCAGACCTGAAGGGGACAGGGGGAGGTAGAAGAGCCTTCTCAGGACGGGAGTATAGCCCTTACCTAAGGCCTCTCGGACCCCCAGCTGGGAGCCCCATTTTAGCTCTAACCTGGCAAAGGGCTCCCCCAGTAAATCAAGGTCTCTGGCCTCGGTAGCAAATTCCCCCTCACACAGCCAGCACCCTCACCCTCCTCCCAGAAGATCAGCAAGAAGGTGTGTGCCCTGGAGGGACAGAGAACCTGGGGCCCAGAAAGCTAACTTGCCCCGGTCATAGGACCAGGGTGTGGAGGCTCGGATTCCAGACAGGCTCCAAGGGCTCTCTCAGCTTCCACTCCAAAAGGAGGAAAATAAATGTGCTTACAGATTTGGAGAAGGGTTGAGCAATCAAGAGACCCATGATTCTCATACCATTGTGGTTTCAGAATGGACATTTTCAAAGACCCCTTTCTCTCTAAGTCCAAGAACAAGGAAAGAGAAGTCAGAGAGAAGATAGGAGATAACAGACCAGTGGGGTTTTTTTGTTCCTGCCACACAATTGGCCCCTTCACAGAGATGTCTCCGTTACCTGATTTGCAAGTCAATGTGTGAGTTTCGAAAAGATCTAGTGGGTTCCCTACTTTCTGAGAGCACAAACATTCCAGCTCTGTTTCACCTGCCCTTGGCCCGTGTTCTGAGGCCAGCACAGGGAGAGGCCAAAGGTATGCAGACCAGGAGAGGTCTCGTGCCAGCCATCTGGGAGGAGCACAGGGACCAGGAGAGCCCATGCCCCCAACTTTCAGAGCAGGAACTGACCAAGACAGGGGAAGGAGGTTGCTCTAGGTCACAGGTCCCAATGGAATGAGATCGGGCCCAGGTCCTCTGCCCTGTCTGGGACACTCTATACGGCTTCTATTTCCTTTTCTGTTTAACAGGGGCATACACGGCACTTCTTGTGCCCAGGCACTGTTCTAAGCACCTTGAAAATCTTCATGCATTCCACCATCATCATAATCCTGTGATGCAGACGCTGTTATCAGCCCCATTTTGCAGACAAGAAAACTGAGAGGTGAAGTAAATTGTCCAGGGTCTCACGCTAGGCAGTGAGGAGCCATGACATGGTTCTGAGAGCCACTCTAAAGCCCCACGGGGGTCTCAGAAAGAGAGTTTGAGCCACAGATGTGCTCTGATTTTGTAGGGGCGAGTGCTGGATGCAAAATCATCCTCCTTGGGACTCCTGGGTGGCTCAGTTGGTTAAGCAGCTGCCTTCAGCTCGGGTCATGGTCCCAGCGTCCTGGGATCGAGTCCCACATCGGGCTCCTTGCTT